GGAGAAAACTATTTGAAAGGGATATATGATCAGGTATTATTGTCATGATGGGAGTCCAGAACAAAGGCTGCATAGTGGAATGGACCTGGGGGGAGGGATTGTAAAACAATGAAGAATTTTTCTTTTATTTTTCAAAGAGAAGAGCAAATTGGGGAAGAGGAGCAGGCAGGGAGAAAAGTGCAACAATGAATGAATGGAAAGCCAAAGTCTCTGTAAATTTTCATTAAAATGAATAATAATAATTTTTAAAAAATTAAAAAAGAAAACCAGTTGTTGTCAAATGAATTCTGACTCAGGATGACCTAAGCACCTGCCCCAGAGTAGGACTGCTCACAGACGTTTTTCAGGAAAAGTTTTGAGGTTTCGTTTAAAGTATATTGCAGGCTTTTATCTTGAGCTGCTTCTGGTCAAAGATAAAATGTCAACGTTTTCATTAGCAGCTCAATGCAACCGATGGCCATCAAGTCAGAACGGACGCAAGGCTGTCCCTTTACATGTACACAAGGAGACTGGCCATCTTTCTTCTAAGAGCCATTAGGTGGATTCGAACTACCGTAGAGATGCCACCTTTTGGTCAGCAGCTCAGCTCCCTACAGATTACGTCATCAGAGCCTCAGGACCTTTTCCACCTTCAGTACGTTTCATAGTGGCCCTATGAACAAGAGATCTGAACCGTGTCCTGTTCCACACCATCCTCATCATCTCTGGTGAGCCCAATGCTGCAGCCACTGTGTTCATCTATCTCATTGAAGATCTTCCTCTTGTTTGCTGCCCCTCCATTATTCCAAGCATAATGTTCCTCTCCAAGGAATAGCCTTTATTAACAACATGCCCAAAATAGATGAAGCTTTGCCCCCCTGACAAAGAAAAAAAAAAAAGAAAGCCTTCCGGCAGCCCTTTCTCCAAGACCTATCTGCTTGTTGTTTTGTGGGATTTTGTATTGTTTTGTTTTTTTATTTGTTTGTTTTTGTGTGTTTTTTTTCTGCTTGTTGTTTTGGCAGACCACACACACACACACACACACACACACACACACACACACACACACAAGAGTACAATTCTCCAGTACCACAATGCAAAAAATTAATTCTTCTTCTGTCATCTTGATTCATTGTTCAGCTCTTAGATGCACAGCAAGTGACTGAGAAGATCATGGCATGGATGAAGTGTGCCTTAGTCTTCAAACTGACATCGTTGCTCCTCAGTAATTTGGAGCAGTCCCTGAAAGCATACTTCCCAGTGATATGCATCTCCTAATCTCTTGACTGCTAGTACCAAGTGTGTTGACTGTTCATCCAATTAAGTTGGAATCGTTGGCAGGTTAAATGTTTTCTCCATCTCTCATGATGTTGAAGTTGTTGAAACGGAAAGACTCTGGAGCCAAGCGAGCCTGGTTTGGATTCAGACATCTTTACAAAGAAGACTATCGTGTCTAGTTTTCATCAGATTTTGCTGAGGTTTAGATGGGACGATACATGTGAAAGGTCTTAATGTCCAAAGAATACAGAGCCAGTGTCAATAAGCATTATATTATCAGCAAGATCACATTGATCGACAGCTGAGCTTGCCATGTTTACCAGAAGTGCAGCGAGGGAGACTAAGGAAGAATACGGAAGACAAGTACCATAGGCTTCTCTTCCCTTCCTGGAATCACTGCCATTGGAAGACCAAGTTCAATGTCTTCTGAGCTCAACACACCATGATCTAGACCAGTCTCCAAACTGTGGAAGTAGAAGGTTGGGCGCAATGGTGCACACTACAGTTTAGATCAAATCATCAGCTAACTTTTTTTTTCTTCCAATGCTCGACTTTTGAATCGCAAGTCATACTTTACAGAATGTATTTTGAGCCCGAGAAGTGGTCTTAACGGTAAGCAATGCAGGAAATTGTGTTCACAGACAAGATAAAGGAGGTCCAGAAAGTGTAAGTGATAAGCTTTAAATCACTCTGTGTGTTTTGAATTATAACAAGAATCTAAGTCTGGAACAGGAAATTGCTTCTCCCCTGCCATTCCATCTCTGATCAATTGGTAATGGCTGCCTCAAAGGCTGTGTGAAGAAAGCGATGGGCAAGCTCTGTGGATTGAAAAGATGTGATTGATTAATGATGTCTGCCATGGCCAAAACAATAGAAAGTAGGGGCATATGTATCACAAATGTGGTACTCTTATCTGGATCTTTTAATGCTGCTCCAGTGGCTTTTTCACTGAAATATGATACTGGAAATGAACAACACATTTCCCTTAGGATCTACAAGAGGATAATATATCAAGGCAAGTCAGGGTCATGTCCATTGTGTTTGTTATCTTTTTGAAGCTTGGATACAAACACACTAAGCTTTTCTGATATGTGCAACTGACTTTTAAAACAATTTTATAAAGACGGCCATAGTTTTTATTAAAATAAATTTTTGTAGAAGTATACACAGTGAAGATATACCATCTCAACAACTCCTACATACAAGCCAATAGAAGAGATGCCTAACTGCACCCATTCCAAAGAAATATGATCCGAAGGAATGTGAGTCTGTCAAACAATATCACACACGTGTAAAATTATGCTGAAAAAAATTTAAAAAATGGCTGCAGCAGTACATTCACAGGAAGCGGGCACAAATTCAAGACAGATTCAAAAAAAGGCATGCAAGAAATAATCACTGATGACATCAGAGAGATCCTGCCTGAAAACAGCAAGGCAGAAAGATGTCTATCTGATTTTTTTATTGACTATGCTCAAAGACATATAACTGCATGGATCAAAACAAACTGCGGATTCCATTGTGAGACATTAAAATTCCAGGACACTTAATTAGGTTCATGCAGAACCTATACACAGACCAGGAAGTTGTTCAAACAGAATGGGAAAATATTGTATGGTTTAATACCAGGAAAGGTGTGCATCAGTGTTGCACCCCTTTTCCATACTCATTAATATTTATGAGGAACAGATAGTACACGGTTAAGCAGTTGTGCTGCCAAACCAGAGGCATGTGGTTCGAATCCACCAGCTGCTCTGCAGGAG